TCATAGCTCTCTTTAGATACAAAAGAAGTAAGTGGCACGGTCTCGTGACTCAAAGGAGTAGGCACCAGCAGTTAAGGTTTAGTCAGATGGGAGTGTCATAGTCTTGTGGACACAATCTCTTTGGGAAAGCTACAAAAAGGAGAAAACAGAATGAAGGGTTAATGCTACATATCAACCAACCGTATTTGTAAGAGATGGGTCTCAACTGAATGCACCCAGGCTTTGGGCAAGTTTTCATTGGTGCGTGCCTCTTCTCTTGGGGAATTTACAAAAGAAAAACCCAATTGCAGGTAGGAAAATAAAGAGAAAATCAGTGAAGTTTAAATCTCACCATGTTTTCCTGAATAGTTTCATACTTGGTAGGGTTGGAAGGGACCTGACCAGATCATCAAGTCCGACCCCCTGCCACGGGCAGGAAAGAATGGTGGAGTCAAACGACCCCGGCAAGGTGTCTATCTAGCATCCTTTTGAAGACCCCCAGGGTAGGAGCGAGCACCACTTCTCTTGGAAGTTGGTTCCAGATCCTAGTCGCCCTGACTGTGAAGTAGCGCCTCCTGATATCTAGCCTGAATCTACTCTCCTACGGTCAACTTATGGCTGTTATTCCTTGTTACTCCCAGTAGTGTTCGGGGGAACAGGGACTCTCCCATTGCCTACTGGTCCCCCTTGGCAAGTTTATAGACGGCCACCAGATCCCCTCTCAGCCTTCTCTTGTGAAGGCTGAACAGGTTCAGGTCTCGTAGCCTTTCCTCATAGGGCCTGCCCTGCTGCCCCCTGATCATGCGAGTGGCCCTCCTCTGGACCCCCTCTATGTTGTCCACGTCCCTCCTGAAGTGCAGCACCCAGAACTGGATGCAGTACTCCAACTGTGGCCTGTCCAGTGCCGCATAGAGGGGGAGGATCACCTCCTTGGACCTGCTCGTGATGCATCTATGGATGCATGACAAGGTGCTGTTAGCCTTCCTGACTTCGTCCCCACATTGGCGGCCCATGTTCATCTTGGAGTCTATAATGACTCCAAGATCCTTTTGTGCCTCTGTGCTGATGAGAAGGGAGTTCCCCAGCCTGTAGGTATGCTGTTGGTTCTTTCTCCCTAGGTGCAGTACCTTGCACTTGTCAGTACTGAATCCTATCTTATTCTCATCCGCCCACCCCTGTAACCTGTCCAGATCCAATTGCAGCCTGTCCCTCCCTTCTAGTGTGCCCACTTTTCCCCACATCTTAGTGTCATCTGCGAATTTGAACAAGGTGCTTTTTACCCCCTCGTCCAAGTTGCTAATGAAGATGTTGAACAGTGCGGGCCCGAGGACCGAGCCCTGGGGGACCCCACTGCCCACATCCCTCCAGGTCGAAAATGACCCATCCACTCTGGGTGCGGCCCTCCAGGTCGAAAATGACCACCACTCTCTGGGTGTGGCCCTCCAGCCAAATTGCAACCCATCTGACTGTGTAGGCATCAATGCCACAGTTGCCTAATTTTTTAACGAGAATGGGGTGAGAGACAGTGTCGAAGGCCTTCCTAAAGTCCAGAAAGACTACGTCCACTGCGACACCTGCGTCGAAGGATTTTGTGACCTGGTCATAGAAGGCTACCAGGTTGGTCTGACAGGACCTGCCTCTAATGAACCCATGAAACCCTTCAACTTCTTGTTTTCAACTGTGAATTTCATTCAGAAATAGTCCTAACTTTAAAAAAAAGAAAGGGAGTAACAAGTTAAATTGTCAGGTAATAGAGTATTTCAGGCAATTTAAAACAATTATATTTTCGTTTGTCCATGGAGGAAGCAAAAATCTGTTATTGGCTCAGTTTCACTAATTCTTTCTCCAGGTGTAAAAGAGGAGGCAGGAACACCAGTGAATTGAAGTCTATAGTGGTACATTGATGTAGTCCTAAGGGAAGGAACTGGTTCTGCATAATTAATGCAAAATAAACTAGGATTCCTCTGAAATACAGAAAAATATACAAAGGATTAGAGAGAGGCATCTTGGCTCCATGAGACGCTGTTTGAACCTCTGAGGCTAAGTACAGACAGCCAAAAAGCCCAAGGCTGAATCAATTTAGTCTTTGCAGGTTAGTCTAAGCTGCACAGATTAAATTGAAACAGAAGTGAACAGACATTTACCTTTGATCCAGGAAATGCAGCCACATGCCTGCAGTGGCGTAAGCCAGAAGCCGGCGGGGGTGGGGGGGTGTGTGCGCTAGAGGATGACTCTCTGACTGTGTGTCCACTTCCTCTTCCTGCTGCCTCCAAGGTGTCTGGGATTTGCAGTCCAGAATTACAGCAGAAGGACTCTGCAGGGTTGCTCATCATGTCCTCTTCCTGCTTCCAGGTGCCTCTGGGATTTGTAGTCCACAGTCGCAGCCAGCAGTAAATTTGAGCGGGGGATGGGGTGTTTAACCCCCCTCCCTGGCCCCAGACCCCAGCTGGGGTTTACCTGGGTGGGGCAACCTGCCCTGTCCCGTAGCCTGGGCTGCATCCCCAGCTGGACTTTCTTCCCCCATCCCCTTGTCAGCCAACCCTCACTGCTCCAGCTAGGGAGCAGAGGGGCAGGGCCAACTCTGCTCTCTGGAGCAGACAGCACAGCCCAGCCCAGGGCTTGAAGGCATGCTGGGATGCCAGGGGTACTGTGATTTAACTTGAACCAGGAAGGGGTCTGGGCCAGAAGTTTCATAAACCGGTTTGACCCACGTCGGTTAAGTCTGATACTAGATTCAACCAGGTTTATCTTAAACTAGTTTTAGCCATTTTGAAACTGGTTTATATTCACTGTACTTCTGTTCTGTTAAAATAGTTTCTGATGACTTAAACCGGTTTATGTGAAAATTCTGTCCCTAGCCTAAGTGTCAGTGGCCAAGCTTGAGAAGCAAATAGTCATGTCAGAGGTTGCAGGGGCAAGGTAAGAGTGTCTTAAAAGCAGAATGAGTTAATGCTGTCTAAAAGGAAACCACTGCCACTGACTCTTGAATACCCTTTGATCCAAATCGTGAACTCTGCTAGACCTTAAAGGAGAATCTTAAATAGCTTTCAGTGTACTGCTAGCACCGCCAGGCATCAGGGGGCAAATCCATCACAATTCACTGTTAAGTAACATTTCAAGTCTCAGCGCAGCTATTTCCTTCTGCTATAAGACTAAGAGGTCCCTCTTGGCATTAGCTTTAATTAATTAAGTCTCAGCAGTGGCACACGCAGCTCTGTAGTAGAGCTTTCAGCCTAATTGTACTCCTAGCATATTTGCAGCACTCCTCTGGAAATCCCAGGATTGTTTTGCAGGACGTGAGCAGTAGAAATTCAGTCCCTGCTCCAACAGCAAGGTTTATTCTCAGTTCTTTGGCAAACCTCTTTCCAGCATGGAACTCCACTGCTACGTAGGGTCCTTTCTTGCCTCTGATAGAAAAGGCTAAAAAATGTATCAAATGCAGTCTGGACTATAAATTTATCATACTCTATATGGGCCAAGGAGACAGACAGATAGACACCCCCTATCTCCCCCCACCCTCCACTTTGATATGTGTAGAGTACAATGAATCTATAGTCCAGTCTGTAGCTGATAAAATTCAGCCTTTGTTGTCATAGCCAGGTCTGTGTGCGTGTGACTATGTGTATTAGGGCTGCGCGAAGCTTCGATCCCTGATTCGATTTGGTGGAGATTCGGTCCGATTTGGTGGCTGAATCTCCAAATCTGAGTCAAATCAGGAGACCCTTTAATCTCTCCAAATTGAATCGGAACCCTCCAAATGGATTCAGAGAGATTAGGAGAGATTCAATGAGTCAGACATAGACACAGCTTTAAATGCTTTTCTACATACCTTGAGGTACCAGGCGGCTCGTGAGTGCTGCAATGCTGGGGCGCATGGAGTGTCCTACAGGAACGTGGTGGTCTCCCCAGTGCACTCGGCTGCAGACCCAGAAGGGGACCAGAAGCACTTCCAGTCTGCTTCCAGGTCCTCTAGGGAGTGTGCAGGGGGGCTCCCCACGCTCCCCCAGTTCAGCAACTGGTGCCTCCTGGGTCTGGGGGGGCACCTGGGGTCCCTCCGTGGCCGATTGTCAAGCCAGGGTGGCACGGTGAGGGCCTTCTGCACGCTCGGCACTGGAACCAGAAGTGGACTGGAAATACTTCCAGGTTCGTCACTAAGCATGTGGTGGGGCCCCCTGCGCTCCCGTGGGATGCTCCACGTGCCCCAGCATCACAGCACTCACGAGCTGTGTTTGGTACCTCGAGGTATACAGAAAAAACATTTCAAGCTGTGTCTGTGGCCGAATCGCTGATTCTTCAAAACTGCATCGAATCTTCAGATTCAGATTTGGCTGAATCGAATCAGGGACAGTGATTCGAATCAATGAATTGAATCACTATCCCTGATTTGGGCCAAATCCAGATCGAAAACGGCCCGTTTCGCACACCCGTAATGTGTACGCATACACGTTTTCAGTCCTGTAAGACTAGGTAGCAAACTAATGGTTTCATTCCTCAGCGCAGTGTCTATGACCAGATAGCTACATGTTCCTCCCCCACATCCCTTCTCTGTACTGTGAGCTTTGACCATTGGAGCATGTTCCTCCCTGAAGGTTTCCCTTTTGTTTAGAAGCACCTTACTCCAAAGGTTGAGAAACACGAGGGTCTATTTATACCACGTTGCTGTGGTTCTCAATTTTAAAGTGCAACACAGACACAGCAAATTAAATCAACTTATGCTTAGTCACATCTGTTTCATTTATATCAAACTGGTGCCACTGAAGCAGAAAGTGCTCTTATTTGCTCCACATTGTTCAAGCTGAAAATTAACTGGCTTTGCACATAATGAAACTCATGCTTCATCTCTTGTAAAATAATTGCACCAGTTCTGTTTTTTTTTTAAGGCAGAGTAACTTACAGTTCCCATATATCGGTCTTTTATTGATGCAAGGAGGCAGCTTCCCTATTTTATTTCCCCTGTTTACCTCTCCGCATTTATTTCTCGGTGTTTTGTAAGTAAACCAAACTCTCTTGTCTCCCAACAGAATTAAGGCAGCACCAGGTGTGAAAATAATGGCTATCAGAGTCAGTGATGCAGACCAGTGGGGGATACAAGAAGAAATAGATAATGAAGGGACCACGGCCACTGTTATATGTGCACATCATGATCCAAATGCAGAGAGCAGGTAAGACATCCAAACTATGTTACATATCATCCTGGATGCAATGTGAGGAAGAAATATAATAGCTCCTTTTATAAATGGTGCTACTTTTTAATATGTAGCCATATGTTATCCTCCTTAGCTTCCTTAGAAAGCTGTATCATAACTCTATTATCTTATGAGAGCTTTATTTTATTTTATTTCTCTGCGTCATCAGTAAATGATCTAATTACATTTGATACAGCAAAGATTTCTGCACTCAGATTTGTCTGTCAGGTACCTTCAGGGGCTGGGGAAGTGCCTGCTGCAAAAGAGCCAACAGTAAGAAGATCAAAATGAAGAAGCACTAGAAATAATTTAGGGCAATATAGGACAATGGTGTCCTCTTTTTTTTTTTTTAATTTGAAAAGCTATAAAGTAATAGCTATTAAATATTATTTATTACACCTGTGGGTGTCTAAGACTTCTTATGAATACCGCATATATTTATTATAGCAGTGCATTAGCAAACTATATCAAAAGTAATAAGAAATTTAAATTGTTAGTCAGAGTAATTTGTTTTCCAATATGAGCGCTTGCTCTCTATTATCTTGCAGTTATTGAACACCTAGCATACACTGCAGTTACTTTTAGTCTGTAATTGTATTATACTTAGTGAGATGTAAGACTTGTGTCAATTTTTAAGATTAGGAATCTTTCTCCTGCATCATCCTTCCCATAAGACCCTTTTAAAACAGATGTCTATACCTGTTTAGACCAAGGGAAAAGACTGTCAAATGTTTGGATTTCAGATTTCGTTTTCAGCCAGCTTTACATTTCGTTTCTCATGTATTTGGAAAAATAAAAACCTGAGTTTTCTAGTGCATAATTTCAGGTAAAAAAAAGTTCTTATAACCCCATTTATCTTAAATTCCTCTCCTCTCTTTTCATCGCTTTCTTTCCCCATATCTAGTTAAAAAAAGGAAGACAAAACCTACATTTTAAACTTATTTACCTGGGGTCCTATGTGGGATTCAGTCCTGATTAGCTCAGAAGCCATGTATTAACCTGTCAGTGGCCACGTCTACATGAGACACTGACTGCACAGTAGTTACTGAGCAGTCATTTAGTATTTGCATACACAAGTGCTAAATGACTGTGCAGCAACTGGAGTCACTGCGCAGTAGCGTCAGCACATGCCTTTTAGGTTTCATAGATTTCATAGACTTTAGGGCTGGAAGGGATCTTGCAAGATCATTGGGTCCAGCCCCTGCCGCAGGGGCAGGAAGTCAGCTGGGGTCAAAGGATCCCAGCAAGATAGATGTCCAAACGTTTCTTGAAAGTGTCCAGAAGAGGTGCTTGCACCACTTCTGGGGGTGGAATTTATTCCAGGCCCTGGGGACTCAGAAAGTAAAGAAGTTTTTCCTTATATCCAGCCTCAGTCTTCCAGGAGTTTGTGACCATTGGACTTTGTCATCCCCAGGGTGCCCTGCCCTGCCCAGGTGACACTTGACTGAGCAGTAGCTTGTGACTACCACGCAGTAGCATTGTGCCATGCTTCATGCCGTGTGACGCTACTGCACAGTCAGCGTCTCACGTAGACGTGACCAGCGTTAACCAAAGAACCACAGCGACACACAGAAGTGTTGGGGAATTGATGCACATGCCAGTTCAGAAGCAAGAAAAACCCGTGGTACAGGATACCCTCGTTATTCACAGGCGTGGCATTTGCGGTTTCAAATATTCACGAATGCTGAACCCACATCTTAAATACAATTAAAGGAGCTCCTCGGGAACTCCACGCTTGCCACCACTGGAGTCCTGCTGCTGCCAGAGCAAATGTCCCCCCCCAGCCGCTGGGGGCACTGAGTTCATGAACACAGACGGCATTCATGAACGCAGTGCCTTATTCGTGGATGTCGTGGGGGATACGAGAACGTATCCCCTGCGAATGGCAAGGGTTACCTGTATACTGTTGCATGTGTTGCATTATCTACAACCGCAGGAAAGTATTCATAACTGCAGGTAAAATAACCCTCCCAAAAACAAAGCCCCAAACCCCACCAACATTTGACTTTTTCTGACAAGAGCTGCCAGTGAGAAGTCAAAGAGCCACCTGTTGCTCCGGAGCTGTGGCATGAGTATCATGATGAGTTTTTCTTTGGAGTTTGCTTCTGCTGATGCTTGATAAGAAGGTATCATGCTTTTTCACCGAGAACTCCACTTTAGATCCAGGCACTGTACGCTTCATTTCCGAGTTACGTCTTTTTCAATAATACTCCTTTTTACTCCAAAGCTGTTAAAGAAACCCAGCATGTTCCTTTAGCTAAAGACGAGTTCTGTGTCAGTGCAGAATACTGGACAGGGGGGACCACGACTGCCACGCTACACTTCTCATGGCCACGTGCCGACGGTCGCGGTGCAAATTCTCGATGCACGCACTCACGCAGCTTTTCTCTGTGTTAACTGAGATTTGCAATCTAGAGGGTTACTCGATATCTGATCTCAAATAAACGTTAAGGTTCAGGTTTTCCATTACAATAGCTGTGACTTATGTTCCATTTAAAGCCACATTGAAAGCCATCAATTAAGACAAATTTGGAGGTTAACAGAAAGCTTAATATAAATCTCTGCTAGTCAGGAACCTGTTTAATTGAACTGAAGTTGCTTTTTTTTTTTTTTAAGTTAGGCAAAAATTAGGGAGAGCACTGAATGTTTTTTGCCTTGTGCATGTTTCACTAATCCATGAAATTACACCTGTCACAGTAACTTAGTTTTTACTAACACTGATTTTTTTTCTTTTGGTGCTTTGTGTTGAACTGTTAAATTATACAAAAGGCAAAGAATCTCAAGTTAATTAATACTTTGACCCTTTCATTTGTGAGATTGGTTTTAATATTTTTGGAGTAATTAAAGTATGCAAATAGAAACTGCTGAAAGATCAGTTCCAGATTTGCAAATATTGTAGCGTTTAGAATAAATATTTAACTTTGATCTTTGTTTTAATTGGTGTTTTGGGGTTTTTTTTTTTTTTGCTGGGATGTGGTGGCACACTGTCTCTTTGGAGGACTGGGAAGCTTTTAGGAGGATTCTGTGACTTTATTTAAATCGTGGTCCTGCTCCACTTAAGGAACCCAAGTAACTTTGTTCAAGTTAATTGGAGTTTCTGCAGCAGTTAAGAGTTGCAAGACCCATCTCATCAGTTGTGAAACAAGGAGAAACTGCAAATATTAGAAGAATAGTTGCCTCCTTGCGGGAATCAGCCTGCTCTCTTGAAAGTCGGTGCTTTGAATTTTACGCTGCTGCTTTTCCTAGCTGTGACACTCATGGTAAGATGGAGCAGCCCAGAGAGCTGAGAGCACTGGCATCAGTGGAAGCACGGTCTCATCTGCGAGGAGGAAACTCTTCTGTCTGATGGTGTTTGCACTGATCCCTTTTCAATTAAAGGGGACGATGATGCTGCATGTTTCATTCATGCCAGAACTTATGCTGACTTCAATGGAATTACTTGGATAACCGAGAGCTACTCATGCAAGTGAGAGTTTGCAGGATCAGGTGCTCTTCACTTTTCTATGACTGTTTTTAGGTATCCTTAACTCGGCGGCCTGTTTCCACAGCTTACACTTCAGCTGCTTTTACTTTCCCCAATGCATGGCTCTGATAAGAGTCCCAAAGGGCCCTGGAGTTAGACATCGACTGCAAGGAGAACAGTGGCTTTAGATTGCAGCACATTCATAATCCAGTTTTCATTCCTTTCAGCCGGCGTTATCTTTCAGAACCCTTTCAAATTTACTTATTTTTCTAATCTTTCTCCTCCTCCTCTGTGCAGCATTATCCTTTATCATGAGGTTTTCATCTCCCTTTCTCACCATCCCTCACGCAAATTGAGTGTTCATTAAAATATTTTAATTTAAGACCTTTCCTTCTTTTATGCAAAGTGCATCATGCCTTTTCTCTACAACACTTTAAAAAAAAATCCTTATCACCATGTCTCAGGCGGTTTACATTATATTCTATTAAAAATCCATTTCGTCCAAGGTTGTCACAATTCATAGATTAAAGCTTCCCAGAGTGCGTTTTGTTAGGAATACATTCATAAATTCGCCTCTTTAGTAATTCTGACACATCTTGTAAGCTTGTATTTAAAACCTCTTTTTGATAATGTAGCTTAACAAAGAGTATGAAAGGCGACATTTATTTACGCACATGCACACGTGCACATGCATACTTACGTGTGTGCGCACACAAAATGAATGTTCATGTGTCTTATGTGGCCCTGAGAGCTTTACTCAGTAGTGCATTAAAAAAAGTGACTAATGTTTGTCAGATATGGTTTGTTTTCCCTTATCTTCCCCTTGACGGCAGTTTTCCATGCTCATTTTTCCATGTATTTTGTTTTGGTAGGATGGTTTCTTAGATACATCCATGGTTCTCTGTGTGTGATAGAGAAAACAAGGTAAAAAAAACACAGGCTCCATTTGGAGGAGAAGTGGTGAGATTTGTGATGGTCTTTAATTAGTTAGACTGGCCTTTAATTAGGAGTTAGTTTTGTTCCATGATCTGGTACCAGGGTCTGAGAAGGCTGTCTTTTTCCCAGGTGAGTTTTGGCCTTCTGGTGAATATGTACACACACATCCATGCACATATATGAACATATAAGCACACATGTCCATGCACATGTACATGAATATGCATGCATATATATACACACACACACACACACACACACACACACACACACACACACACACACACACATGCACATAGGTACATGCACATATGGACACAGGTGCACACACGCACTCAAATACAAACATAAAGGCATAGGTAATTAAACCAGCATGCACTGTCATGTCTTAGTAGGAGCTGGGCATTTTTGGTGAAGGTCAAAGCATTGGGAAAAGCTTGGCGAATAACCTCAGGGGAAACACCTAGGTTTAAGCAAGGGGCTAAATTCTGCCAGGCACTTGGCACTATCCAAGTTACTAGGAATTGAGAGCACCCCGTAGTTTGCCAGAGACACTCAGCATCTTGCAGGGCCAGAT